GATTGGATTAAGGAAGAGATCCCTAACTTGGATGTAAGATTATTTGGAATACGAACCAAGTATAATTGCTGAAGTCTTGTTCGTTTCTTTCTTCTTTTGATTTCTCTTCTAGAAATATGTGTTCTTTCTTCAAGTGTTGTGGACAAATTTCCTCACAGTATTCATTAGGCAAGAAATGAGAAAATGAGGGCTTGTTCTTTTAAAATTTAACTTGAGTATAATTCTTGAGTTGAATTTGAGTTATAATTTGAGTTGAAGTTATAACTTGAGTTTGTGTTTGGTTGTGTACATTTGAGTATTGATTTGAGATAAGAATCTTTTTGAGTTTGTATTTGAGTGAGTCAAAACTTAAATTTGTATTTAAATAGTATTTTAATAAAAACTCAATATTGATGAAAAATTTTAATAGGTTATATGGGTGGGATTTTATTCGTCTTTTCGTTGTCAACGCATAGAAAAAAAATCATCTCAATCAAAATTAAAACGAAAACGTTATAACATTTTTAAGAATAGAAAAAACACTGTTTATTAATTTGAGTTCGAGTTTATAAAAATTATTTAAATACAAATTCAAGTTTTGACTCACTCAAATACAAACTCAAAAAGATTCTTATCTCAAATCAATACTCAAATGTACACAACCAAACACAAACTCAAGTTATAACTTCAACTCAAATTATAACTCAAATTCAACTCAAAAATTATACTCAAATTAAATTCCAAAAGAACAAGCCCTCAATTTTTTAAACAAAAATGTTATGTCTAAAAAAATTAGGAAATAAGGGTAAGCTACAAGTGACCCTTGTGATTTGAAATTTTGATAAAATTTACTCTTTGTTTTTTAAGTTTCCGTTCATTTCACCGATTTGAGTTTAAAATTTGAATTTTATTACAATAAAAAACTCTCTAAAACAGTCACATCTAACTTTTTTGCTACAGTAAAAAGCTCTCACATAAAGTCACATCTAAATTCGAATTAAAAACTCGAATCAGCGAACTAAACAAATCCTAAATTTACATATAAATCCTTCATATTTGAAAAGACCACGTTCTAAAATCTCAAGACAATATTTTGATTTAAAGCGGAATGATTAACCGCCTAAAAGATTGCATCAAAACAACCCGTTTCTGGAGCCAAAAAAAACTACACAAATGAGTTGATGGTCGTGTTCTATAAATCTAAAAATATGGACCAATTTCTGACCCCAAAAAAAAAAAATCACCATGCCGGTAAAAGTGTATATTGGAACCTATAAACGTGTAACCTTGTCGTTTCTACCATTGAAATGCAAAAGGGATCCGTTGAGGAAGATGCCTATAGGGATGCTTCCAAGAGTAAGTAAAGAATAGGCACTTCGTTTTTTTTTTTTCCCCTTTTTAAACGCGATAAAAAAAAAAAAAACTTTCCAACTCTAATAAAAATTAAAAGAAAAAAAAACAAAACTTGCTCGTCAAAGATTCAAGTTTCTTTTTTTTTTTTTTTTTTTTAATTTACAAACAATTTTCTTGTCAAACGAAATAGAATTTTCCAACGAAATAGAATCGTTTTGCATATAAATCATGGATCCCAAAAAGCACAAAGAAGATCATGTGGCCTTAGAAATCTAATAATCGTTTGCTTTCCCACAAGTTCCAACCAGGATTCTCAATTTAAAAGGAAATTTTAAACAAGAGTCGTACCTCGATAAATAATAACCTTGTTTCAAAAATACTGTCTTCGGTTTCAAAAGTATGTTTCTCTTAAGTAGAAAATTTTCCATTTAATAAATAAGTTTAAAATGTGGTGGTTTGAAATGAGATGAGAATTTTAAAATATGTGGTTTGAAATATTGAAAAACAATGGGCATCGGAGAGGGGAGCGGGGGCGGCGGGATGGGGTGGATAAACTTAAAATTGGAAATTTTTTTGTTCAAATAAATTATTGGTGTTTATTCTCTAGTTTTAATTTGTGTGTTTATAATAAGGCGTTGATATTTCCGCCATTCTGTTTTAGTTTGTTTATATTTCGTTGTTGGTCGCCGGCATGTATTCAGCCTCGTATTGTTTTAGTTTGTTGTGTCGCTGAAATCATCACGTTAAGGAAGTTGGTAATCGTACTTTTCAGAGCGCGAAAGTTAATCTTGATGGGAAGAATTTTTTCTACTAGAGCTTTGACTGTGCTCGTTAGTAGTGTGCTGAAGTGTTCTCTCATTTTTTAGACTCATGCATACCTCTATTTACTTGTTAGGTCATTAACGTTATCATGTGTATTTATATCTAATGTGGTTATAAAAACTAATATGACATTAATTATCTAATAACAATGCAGCTATTCCTTAAAAAAAAATATTTACCAAATACTGGTTTATTTAAATTTTTTGGTTCAAATCATTTGACCATGTTTTATCAAATGGCCATAACAAGGGTTGGATCATGCCACTCAAACTTGAGATAAGGTGTTTTTTTGCGGGCACTTGACATGGCGATGGAATAACCTTGTTCATTTCGCTGATTCGAGTTTTACTACAGTAAAAAGTTCTCACAAATAATCACCTCTAACTTTTTTGCTACAGTAAAAAGTTCTCATATAAAATCACATCTCAACTCAAATTAAAAACTTGAATCAGCGAACTAAACTGCCCATATATTTACATATCAGTTTTCTTTCTTGATTAATGGGTCGTCGTTTGGGGCATAAGGCCACGTAGAGCACTCAGCCAATGTTGTGCTTTGATCCAGTATTTTTTTCTTCTTTTTTTCCTCTTGTGTGAAGGGGGTCTATTTGCCCTTATTAATAATGTAGTGAATAATAGGCGATTCATTGAATCTATATATGATCTGTAAATTAAAACAGATTTAACTCTGAGTGCAAAATTATAGTGTGTCCTATCCAATAATTTTTCCTTCGGTGTGGATAACTACAATGATTGGTAGTACCCACCTAATACTGCATGGCCAGATATTTGACCTTTTTTTAACGGGAATTTTTCTAGTGTTTTATTTTTAAAAAAATATATTAAGAGTTATTTTTTTATATTTTTGAGTTAAGGTAATTTGAGTGATGATTTTAAATTAATTTTGAGTTATAATTTGAGTTTGTGTTTGAATGTGCACATTTGAGTTATGATTTGAATTGAGAATCTTTTTGAGTTTGTGTTTGCGTGACTCAAAACTTAAATTTATATTTATATAGTATTTTAATAAAAACTCAATGGTGATTAAAAATTTTAATAGGGTATATATATAGGTAGAGTTTTATTCGTCTTTTCATTGTGAATGCATAAAAAAAAATCATCTCAATCAGAATTAAAACGAAAAAGTTATGATATTTTTAATAATAGAAAAAAGATTGTTCATTAACTTGAGTTGGAGTTTATGAACTCGAGTTGAAGGAGAAACTTGAACTCGAGTTTAGCCTCAAACTCGAGTTCAAACTCGAATTCAAACTTGAGTTTAAACTCGAGTTCAAATTCAAATTTTATAAAAGAATATGAACTTAAATAAAATTGTAATTCGAGTTAAAATTTTTTTGAAATTTTATTACAAAAGAATAACCCCTTAATGTTTTATGTTTATCATCGTTGGATTTATATTATTTTTTTAATTTAATTTAATTTTTAATTAAATTTAATATAGATCTAATAGTTGATAAAAAAAAAAAAAAAAACCACGAGTGTCCTAAAAGAAAAACATAAAAAAGTCCATCAGAGAATTTCCAACTTTTGCCTAGGACCTATAGAGTTTCCTTCAAGTTTCAGCAACTCATCAAAAGATGTGAGGTAGCAATCACGGTCTCTGTCTTTGCAATGAACTTGGATCTGATTAGACTTGGCTTCAACGTGAAGCAAGCAATCGCAACGAACACAACAAATACAAAAGGTGGGCTCTGTTTCTGCACACTCCCTAGAGAATCATGGAGACATCCGATTCTTATTCGAAGACATTTGGCCCAAATGCCACGTTGCTGCTAGATCAAATTTAAAGTTTCGCTCATTTCACTGATTTAAATTTAAAATTTAAATTTTATTACAGTATAAAATTTTTAAAAACAATCACATTTAACTCTTTTACTACAATAAAAAATTATTACATAAAATTATATCTCAACTTAAATTAAAAACTCAAATCAGCGAGCTAAACATAGTCTAAATACCTCACATTTTCCTTTCAGAATTTCTATGGTAGGCTTGAAAAGGTAACCTATCAGCAGAATAATGCTTTTAACCTTTTAATCGGTATCATAAATTATATATTATGAATATATATATATCATATTTAATTTTTTTATTATAATAAAAAATTATTACATAAAATTATATCTGAACTTGAATTAAAAATTTAAATCAACGACCTAAACATATTCTAAATACCTCACATTTTCCTTTCAGAATTTCTATGGTAGGCTTGAAAAGGTAACCTATCAGCAGAATAATGCCTTTAACCTTTTAATCGGTATCATAAATTATATATTATGAATATATATATATTTATTTTGATATTTGATTAGATTCAACGACACGATGGCCTAGTTTATTTTACCGATTTGAGTTTTTAATTTTAAGTTTTTACAGTAAAAAGCTCTCAGAAAATGTCACATCTAACTTTTTCTGCTACAGTGAAAAGCTCTTAAAAAATATCACATCTCAGCTCGAATTAAAAACTCGAATCTACGAAGTGAACGAGGCCATATGTTTCCTTTTACGGTGTTAAGTTTTATGCATTAATTATTTTTTTCCCCTCTTACCGAATAAATAAAACAAAAGAACGCACACGATATGCATTTTTCAAAATTGTAATTTGATTGACTAAATTTAATGCCCATTTAGTTCACTGATTTAAGTTTTTAATTTGAGTTGAGCTGTGATTTTATATATAAACTTTTTTACTGTATTAAAAAAAATTAGATATGATTGTTTCTGAAAGCTTTTTATTGTAACAAAATTTAAATTTTAAATTCAAATCGGTGAAATAAATAAGATCTTAGTCGGTTAGTGCACTCTTTGAACATCATCAAATCTAAATTTCAAAAGCAATATACCCTTCTTTCTGTATTACTAAAAAAAGAAACTCCCCCTCTTTTTTTTTTTTTTTTTTATAATAATTGGAAGTAATGTAAAAGAAACTTCCAATGGAGACTTCTATTTAGTACACCAATTTGGGACGAGGGAATTTCTGGTCCTTGAGCAACTCAACCACCCTTCTCATGGAGGGTCTATTGAGGGGAATCTTGGAGGTACACATGAGAGCCACATTTAAAACCTTCTCAATCTCTTCATAATCACATGCAGATGGGTTCATCCTTTTGTCAACAAGCTGGTCCAAATCTCTCCAACGACTTCCCAAGCCACCATTGCCATTGCTTTCTTCTCCTTCATGTGGTGGTGATAAAGCAGCCTCCGTGACCCACTTCACTACGTCCTTGTTCTCGCCAAAGAAAGAGTCGTTTGGCCTCTTTCCGGTTATTAATTCCAAGAGCACCACGCCAAAGCTATACACGTCGCTCTTCTCGTTCACTTTCAATGTGTACGCATATTCTGGTGAACCATAAATAAAGTTTGAAACGGTTAGGAATTAGTAACAATTTAGAGACCTTTCATTATGAAAAGCCCATCTCAACCTAAGCCTCATGGTCACAAGTTCTAGAGCTTCATAATTTTATTACAAAAAAAAAAAAAAAAAAAAAAAAACTTCTAGAGCAGAGAGAACATTTATTCAAATGATGCTACAACTTTGTATTAGTTGACAGTTATTACGATAAGGTATTGGAAATTGTTTTTCTTTTTATCTCCATATTAAGTGACACATAATGAGCCACATTACTAAAAGTTATGCACAAATCTTCAAAATTTTATCCAATAATAGATGTTTATAGGGTCGTTTAGTTCGTTGATTCGGGAAGTTGAGATGTGATTTTATGTGAAAATTTTTTATTGTAATAAAAAATTAAATATGATTGTATTTTTAAATTTTTTTCTGTAATAAAACTCAAATTTTAAACTCAAATCAGAGAAATGAATTGGTGTATAAATTCCGTATTTCTGTGGCATAAGTTAACCTGGTTTAGCAGTGTCCAGAATTAATATTTAAACAGCAAAAACGACAAAAACGTGGTTAAGTAAAAAATCCAACGACGACAAAAACCAAAACTCACCCGGCGCAATATAGCCATAAGACCCAGCGATGCGTGACATGGCACCGGCATTTCCCTCCACGTCATCATCCACGTGGCGACGCAGACTCTTAGCCAATCCGAAATCCGCCACGCGGGGCCTGAACTCTTCGTCCAACAGAATGTTGTTACTCTTCACGTCCCGGTGCACGATAGCCGGATCGCAGTCGTGGTGCAGGTACGCCAATCCCTGAGCGGCGCCCACCGCTATCGTGAGCCGGAGGGGCCAGTCCAGCAAACCTGCGCACTCACCCTTCTCCCCGTGCAACACGTCACCCAAACTCCCGTTCTCCATATACTCGTATCCCAAAATCCTACTGTCCTCGCCGCTGCAACTGAAGAGCAATTTTACGATATTGCCATGCCGGATCCGACCCAAAGTCTCAACTTCGGATTCAAATATCGGATCGGTCTCGATCCTCCTCTCTCCTCCGTAGAGCTTTTTAACCGCCACTGTCTGACCCGTTTTCAGCCGCAGCTTGTATACCTGACCCGAACCGCCCGACCCGATTAGCTTCTCGTCCGTTAAGGGCCCTATGACATCGTCTTCGTGGAACCCGACCCGCTGGAATGTGGTGACCTTGCAGAGCTTCTTCCTGGGTTTGGCACTGAAGAGTTGGGATTTTCGTCGGAGGTACCAGAGGAGAGAGAAGAGGAGGAGAGCGGCGCAGATGGAGAGCAGAACGACGGCGTATAGTGCGGCGGGTTTTGGTTTGGAGCAGGAAGGGAAAGGTTTCAGATTAGGGCTGCAGAGATGAGGGTTTCCGAGAAGAGCGGAGACGTACTGACCGTGGGTGAAACCGGAGGGGATTTTGCCGTTGAGCTTGTTGTTTGAGAGGTTGAATTCGTTGAGCTTAAGCTTGGTCAGCTCCGGCGGGATTTCTCCGGTCAGCAGGTTGCCGGAGAGGTCGAGATAGTTCAAAACCGGTAAGCCGCCGAGCTCGGAGGGAATTTCGCCGGTGAGTTGGTTTCTCGAGATGTTTAGTTCCACCAAATCGGTCCACGAACTCACTGAGTTTGGAATTCTGCCTGAGAACTCGTTCTCTTGGATTCTGAGCTTCTGCAGCTTTTTGAGATCGGTGATACAGACAGGTATGTCGCCTGAGAACTGGTTCTCTCCGAGGTCGAGAGTGACGAGTTCGGTTAATTTGCAAATGGCCGTCGGTAAATCGCCGGAGAAGATGTTGTTGGATATCTGAAGCGTAGTCATCTCGCTCGCGTTTGAGATGGAAGGCGAAATTGAGTCTCCGAATCTGTTGTTTTCCATTTGGAGATGGTAAAGTAAAGGAAGACTCCAAACTCCGTCGGGTATTTTGCCGGAATATTCATTCTTTTCGATTCGGATGTAAGTTAAAGAAGTGCATTCGCTTAAAGAACTCGGCAAAGTCCCCGACAAGTGGTTCGAGAACGTGATGAGGGTCGAAAGGTTCTTTCTGTAACAGAGGTTCTTCGGCAACTCGCCGGAAAACTTGTTCGTCGAAACATCGAAATCTACCAAGGAGGAATTCAGGCCGAGATTCGCCGGCAATTTTCCGGAGAAGCTGTTGTTGAAGATCTTGAGCTGGTAAAGATAAGGGTTGGAAGCTAAACTCTTCGGAAGTTCACCTTCGAAGAAATTATCGTTGAGATTCAGAGACCCCAAGCCGAGCCCGGCGACCTTTCCCGGCAAGTTTCCGGTGAGTGCGTTCTGAGAGAGATCCAGATTAAACAGATTGCTCAAATTGGCTAAACTCTCGGGCAATTCTCCGGACAAGAAATTATCATAAAGCTCGATTTGCTCTACGCTTCTCAATTCTCCAATTCTATCAGGAATTTCTCCATGCAAGCGATTGTTAGAGAAATCCAGGTTCTTGAGCGAAATTAGGTTCCCGATCGTCTCCGGTATAGTTCCGACGAGGCCAGAGTTCGAAATGACAATATTCTCGAGCTTCGTCAGGTTTCCGATCTCCGGCGGCAGACGACACTGGTTCAGAGGATTGTAACCGAGTGACAAGTGAGTCAACTCACTGAGATTGCCAATGAACGAAGGAATCGGACCGGTGAGCAAGTTCGAGGTCAGAGTTAAAACCTTCAGAGCCGGTAACTTCCCAAAACTCGCCGGGAAACCGCCGGAGAAGTTGTTATACGACAGGTCCAGATACTCCAACTCGTTGAACTCCGGCGATAATTCCGGCAACTTCCCAACGAGCACGTTGCTGGAGATGTCGAGCAATCGGAGGTGAGTGCACAACGAGAGAGCCTCCGACGAGAGCGTCCCGTTGATGAAATTGCTAGAAAGAGTAAGGTGTCGGAGGGTCCGAACCCGACAGAACCCGGACGGAAACCCGCCCCGAATGTCGTACCCGGATATATTCAGCGAAACAACTTCGAGCTTTTTACGGTCGCAGGTAATTCCCGTCCAGTTGCAGGGATTGCGGTAGGCGTTTGGGACCCAGTCGCTGAGATTCCCATTCGGGTCTTCGAGCTGGGCGTTCTTGACCCGGATAAGGATTTCGGAGTCTCCGGCGAGAGAACCCAGAACAAGAGAAACCCAAGAGCAAGACAAGAAGATAGACAATACGAGAAGAAGTTTCGGATTGTTCAGATGTTTCATCGTAATACTGGGGCGAAACAAAGATCAAAGCTTTTCAGTATGAGCTAGAGAACAAACATGGTTGGATTTAGCGTTTATTTGGGTGTCAGAGAGAGAGAGAGAGAGAGAGAGAGAGAGAGAGATGGTTGTGTGGGGCCTGTTTGGTTATTGGTTACTGTTGTTTCCTGAGGATAGTGACGAGGACGAAGTTGATTTGATTTAAAAACAAGAGGGCCATTTGTAATTGCCCAATTTTTCAAAGTGTTCACATGGAAGTGTCGTTTTTAGCATATCACTTTTTAGGATACTGTGTGAGAGAGAAATGGGAGAGAGAAACAGAAAGGGGTTGTGATTGGCGTATGGTTAAAACAGGGGTGGGTTAATTAGTGCAAGAGAAACGTGATTTTGCCTTTTGTCATAATTTTTTTGGTTTGTTTTGGGAAGGGGTTAAAGTAATTATAAAGCATTATGAGGAAGTCCAAGGAAAGAGCGCCTGTAAAACGAATATTTCCAGAAGCAGAGAAAATGTGAGGCTTACGAGACTGATTTCTGCGATTCCCAATTCTAGAATGCGAAGCTTTTTGATGTTGGAACAGGTTCCTTTGCAAGAGGGCCGTAGGAATCGGAAAAGGGAAAATTTGGTTGGTTTTTGGGAAAGAAATGTGTGATGAAAAGAGGAATTGATTTGTGTGTGTCAATATGAAAATTGAGATATTAATGAATCATTTCCTGAAAAGGGCTGTTTAAACAATCTGGGCAATTAGTTAGTACGGAAAACATTTTTTGGAAAATCCAAATGAATAATGCAATCTGGTACAAGTTGTTTATCAGTTTACCACTTCCTTTTCATTAGGTTTTGAAAGACTTGTTGTTAGCTGTACTGCAATCGAGTTTGGTAAACTGCAATTTAAAAGTGATTTTGGTTTGTGTGGCCGTGTATTATCAGAATGATAATTTGCATAGTTGTAGATAACAAGCGATGGCTTGATGAGACTAGACGTTAGGCAGTTTGTCCTAACACCATAGATCCTGGTTTAACCTCTCTTTTTGTTTTTGTGGTTTGATTACATTTGTGTCTCTTATTTTGTTTTATTTATTGCTAAGCTGCTATTTGTTAAAACTTTCTAACAATAGTCTAGAAGTTTTAAAAGCGTCCGTTAAGGAGTATAGAAAAAATAGAGAATTTATTTTTAAGAGCGCATGAGTCTAGACATTTACCATTTATTTTTTATCAATACCCTTTTATTAGTGTAATTATTTAACTAAAAAGGTTATGAATAAAGAGTAAATTGTAAAAATCTTGATCTGTACACTTTTAAGGGGTATTTGTCAAGATTATTCTTAAGTATATTTCCTAGTTTTGAAAAGAGAGAGGATAGTCTGAATTTTTATTTCTTACTCTTATTAATATTATTCTAATGGATATTAATTAAGAAGAATGAGTAAAATTTCAGATTTGTGCACTATAAAAGTAAGTTTTATTATAAACATGTATGCTTTAAAATCCATCCTTTTTAGAAACTACACAAGTGTGATTTAAATTTTATAAACAAGTTTCAATTAATTCATCATCCCCCGCACTTTATGGATTAAAAAACAAAGCAGAAAGACACAATTACGATTGAATAGTTTTTGAAGAATAATTAAGAAGTTTTATTTTTTTTCTTTTAAAAAAAAATTATGGGCGACGGATCTGCCTTCTGTAAAAAAAAAAAGGTGATGTTGTTTTGTTTTATGGTTTTGATTTTTTTATAAAAATATAAAAAATGTTTTTATGATATGATTTAAGGGTATTTTTGTCTTTTCATTGGGGATTAACTCGAAACATGTTTATAGTATACTTTTGTAGTTTTTATTTTTTTTTAAAGAGAGAGCTAAATTGAGAAAAAATTAAAACTAGAAAGCATATTTATGTAGTTACCAAACTAAGGCTATTTGGTATGAACACTCTTTAAATTTAGAAATTTAGTTCCTAAACTTTTTTTCTAGCAATCAACCTCGAGAACTTTTAATTTTTAGCATTTTTAGTGCTTACTGCTTATATTCGTTAAAATTTTGATGGTTTTTATGCCAAATTACAAATGACCGCCTAAAAAGCGCATAAATGATATTTTTATTTGGTATTAATAAAATTCATGTTAAAATTTAGATTAAAGTTTAAGTTATAATTAAATTAAGTTCAAGTTTTAAATGTATTTGTATTGAAACTAAACAAAAATGAACATCAATGCCCTTATTAGGTCATCATTTACAAGTTAGGTGCAAAAAAAAAATCAAAATTTTAATAAATTTGAACAACAAGGGTTGAAAGTGCCAAAAATTATAAGTTCAGGCTGTTGATTGCCAGGAAAAAAAGTTTATGAACTAAATTACCAAATTCAAAAAGTTCAAGGGGCGTTTGTACAAAATAGTCCCAAACTAATTCACCTTTTATTAGGTAATAAAGAGCCCATTTGGCAGAGTTTTTACTTTTATTTTTAGCCAGTAGAAGAAGAGAAGTAAAATTTGTGACTTTTCAATAAGTGTTTGAAGTGCTTAATGGGTCCAAATGATTTTTAAATTCTCTAATGAATAATAAAAGTGTTAGAATTAAATTTATAATGTCTTAATTAAACTCTAGTACAAGTTTTAAATTCTATTCAGAAGTGCTCTTTTCAAAAGTTATAATTTTTAATTTTGACTGAAAACTATTCTGAAAAACTAAAACACTTTTAAGAGATCATCTAAGGTCCCGTTCACTTCGCTGATTCGAGTTTAGAATTTGAGTTTTTCTACAGTAAAAAGCTATCACAAACAATTACATCTAACTTTTTTGCTACAGTAACAAGCTCTCACATAAAATCACATCTCAACTTGAATTCTAAACTCAAATTAACGAAATGAACAAGACCTAAATACTTCCAAAAGTAACTTTTAAACCTAAAAAATCAAACAATAATTATTAAAAAGTTCTCTTAAACAAGCTCATGTCATACGCAAAGACCAAAGATAAAAGTTCTTATAACGCAGTATATAAGGACACACGCTAAATTATAGTGACGCCTATCTTCCCTCACGTGTGCATTGTCAGGTAAGCTTTTAGTATAATTAGTTTCCATTCTAGCTAATATTAACGTGTAATATAGAGACACAAGTATACGTTAAAAAGGCCCAACACAAAACATTTTGGAGCGACATCAATATGTATGATGCCATCTTTGTGATCTATAGTATACGCCAAATGCCGATAATGCATCAATCTTAGCAAATAAAAAAAAATTTTGTTTCAGTCAGGCGCAACTATATGATAAGGGAGTCTTTTTTCTTTTTAATATGATTAGGAAAAAAAAACTATCGATACTTCTTTATTTATTAGAAATTATTCGTTTTATATAATTTTTTAATTGAAATTTTGATTAAATTTAACGGTTAAAAACTGACACTGTCAATAAAAAAACCTACCAAAAAAAGTCACATACGATATTAGCTCTAGTTTTTAATGCAATTGTTAATATCAATGTCGTGTATGTAAAAAATATGACATTTAATAATATGCTATTACATTTTGTTAGTAAAAATTATTCTTTTTGTATTTTTTTACTATTTAAATAAAATACACACATTAAATTAGAAAGTTTAGAAAGATAAAAGTGCAGCCGAAATGGCAAATTGGTATGCATTCTTTCCGTGTAAATTGTGAAATGAAAAATGTATTAATGACATGTTGTCCCCAGAATTTTAAGTTTGTGACAATTTAATCCATCATCCAATTTTACGGGCAAATATCATTGGATTAAATTTTTCATGAACAACATGGTAGTCTAATCGTTTACTACCGTCTAATCTTAAAATAATTGCTCACGTGCACTCGATCCACTTCTTAAGGGGTAAAATATGTAAACTCAAACTATTTTAAAAATCAAATATATTTTTTGAATATCACCTTAAAAGGATCTCCATTCTCCATTCCATAAAATGAAAAGTAAAATGAACAAAAGGGTCTCATATTTTAGTTTTTAAGATAAGTATTGGTAAGTATTAGGGTCCGTTTAATTCGCTCATTTGAATTTTTAATTTAAGTTGAGATATAACTTTAATTTTATAGATTTCGACTAAGATCTGTTTGACTGACCAGTTTGTCCATATGTGTCATCTACGAAGCAAGCTAGGAAGGAAGCATGAGGTTTATCCTGTTTTGGCAAGCTTTCAACAGAAGTTTTGTAGAGTGCAACCGACTATGGACAGTAATACTAGAACTCTGTTTATTTCACCGACTCGAATTTAAAATTTGAGTTTTTTTATAGTAAAAAGCTCTCAGAAACAGTCACATCTAACTTTTTTGCTACAGTAAAAAGCTCTCATATAAAGTTACATCTCGATTTCAATTAAAAATTTGAATCAGCGAACTAAACGGGTCTAGAACTGTTCCTTGTTGATTTGGTAATTAGGTGCACCTCTAATGTGCTTTAAGGTCATTAGACATTAGTTTTTTTTTAATATGTTTTATTTTAAATTCTAAAGAAAAAAAAATACTCAAGCTTCGAAGTATTATAACTTTTTTAAAAATTCTAAAGCCTGAGTTTTATAAAGGTAGAAGAGAAAGAAAAAATAAACAATAAATAAATACGTGTTATTGGGTAAAAAATAAGGAGTATTATGACTCAACTAAATGTTTATTATCCTTTTGATAACTTATTTACTATTGACATTATTGACATAAGTAACGCGTCACATCATTACCCATCTACTAATTTAAACTGTTGAGATTAATTTAAATGGTCATAATAGAGTGAAAGTTTTAGTTCGTCAAATAGTGTCAGACGACTGTAGAAACATTTTAATTTTGTATTTGAAATGTGTTTTCCTTTTTTTTTTTTTTTTTGTAAAGAAGGAAAAGAAGAAAAAAAACCTAAATACGCAATGGAATAATACAGAAAAACTAGAGTCTATAGTAATTTTCTTATAGAAATATTCTGTAAAAATCACGCATATAATACCGTCAGCGGATTTTTCTCTAAAAAAATACTAAATAGATAATGTTTCTAAAAATAAAAAAATGAATAATATACAAAAGTCAATCCTACAGCAGAATTTGAACTAAATTAAATTCATTTTTTTTCGAGAAGGTAAATTAATA